TATATATATATAATGCAAATCAGCACAAGTATAGAGCGTAAAAATTTTTTTTAGATGGAGCTTTTAAAAACTAATTTTTTATGCACTCTGATTTTTCTCTCAGTTTCTTTTGGAGAATGCATACTTTGTATGATGTTATATTACAGCTTTGTAACTTAGGAAAGCGTAGGTATTTTTACGGGGAAAACATTCTCCCTTTTAAATTTCTTTTCCAAGGAAAAGAAAAAACAATTTTTTATCCCTTCTTGAAATTCACCAAAACCGCTTCTTCGATTCTCAAGAACCCATATGGACACTGGTTAAAAGCGGTCAAGGCACAGGTTAAAATCAATCAGGACTAAAAAGAAAAATATTCGGATAAAAAGCACCTTACTATTTAAGTATTATTTAACAAAATGATTAGGACTCAAACTCGTAAACAATTCTAAGAATGTTCCAATTTTCGTTTTCTTCTTATTGTATTGTGATCTGCAAATAATACTTTTAAACAAACTATTTTTTTAAAAAATAGCGTAAAATTAAAATACTCTATCGTTTCTTCTAATATTTTCAATTTTTCAAAAAATTATTATTTGAACTGACTATTGTTAACTGATTCATTATTTATACTACATCATTATATTTACAGCTAAAAATATATTAAATGTTAAAAGTATTAAAACTCCGATTTAAACTTTGTATATTAATTACTTTTTAATTAAAAAATAACTAATAACGTTCGAATAATTATTTAATTACATTAAATTCGGGTTAACCGCATGAATCAAATAATTAGACAATAAATTTATATAACAGTTAATTAGGCGAGGTTTTTTTTTTTTTTTTTTTTTTTTTTTTTTTTTTTTTTTTNTTTTTTTTTTTCTTCTTTTTTTTCATCTTTTTCTTTCCGGGCTTTTTTTTTTTCTCTCTCTCTCTCCATGATTCTTTATATCTTGCATGCTTTGAAATTGAGTTTTTTTTTTCTTTGCTTAAGTGATGACACAAGTGTTTCATTATTAATTTTGCAGTAACAATGTAGTTTTGCTGCCGGCTATAATACATTAAGATTATGAGCATTTGTATTTTGAATCTGAAGCGTGAAGTCAACACGCAACACTTTTTTAAAGCTGCTGTGGTAGGTAGCGGGAAGAAATATTCGTTTATCATTACAAAAATATGCACTATAACGTTTTTCAAATTTTTCGTCTTCTTCTATATATCTTCCTTTTGAGACATTAAAATGTGGGTTAAAAACTTCATCTAAAGACTTAGCTATTTTTCTCTTTTCGTAATTGGAACTTAGAGAAAAAAAAACGTCGCAGACACAAATAAATAAAATATAAAATACTGCAGTTTAACATAAAATAACACATTTTAATTTGCTATTATAATAGAAAACATAACCATAAAAACACTTTTTATGAAAAACAAAAATTACTCATAAATGCACAAAAAGTGAAGAACTGTAAAAATACAAGAAAAAGAATATTAACTAATATACAGCTAAAAGTTCGTGCTTGACATTTTGAGACTTATTTAACTTTAAAACTTTTCCAAAACATTTGTGATTTTCTTCAAAAAAATGTTTGGGTTTGTTTAAAATAATGAAAACAAAGCAAATGAAAAATTTCAACGAAGTCTGGCAAGTTAAGATAAATTGATGTTTTCGTTGTGGACTTTAAGACGAAATTATTATTGGTTTTTACACAATTTCCAACAGCACATTTCACCAGGGTAGAATATATTTAACACTAGAAAGACTGAAATACCTATATTGCCCAAAAGCAGTCAAAATGACAACAAGTTATTAGTAAATATTAACAATAAAAAAAATTATATGATGTACAAAAAGTCACAAAATTCTAAGAAATTGTGTTATCATATNTTTTATATTATTTACAGTTATATAACAAGTTATTAGTAAATATTAACAATAAAAAAATTTATATGATGTACGAAAAGTCACAAAATTCTAAGAAATTGTGTCATCATTGTTTCTCTAATTGAAATTAAAGAGCAGTCAAAAGGACTTCCTTGGGCAATCTAGTGTTAAATTAATTTTGCTCCAAGCGATAACTAAACTTTTGTGTAATAAACGAATGATACAAATTAAGTTAGAGTAAAAATTATTTTTTGTATTAGAGTTTTTAAATCTTGTTTTATTTCCTCACTTTGTTACTTATTGCATAAAAAATACTTCAAATTTAGCATTAAAATTTCTATAATAAATAAAGATATGTTCATGGATGGTGATGATAAAACTTAACTGTAAATTTGAATTTAAGAGCAAATATGTTAATTGAGTTTGTTCAAAATCCAATGCTTTTAGGTGTTAAAATTACAGTAGATTTTGAAAAAAATATGTTAGAATTAAGAAACTGATAGAAAAAAATATTACTTAATTCGAAGTGTAGTTTTAAGACAATGTGTACTAAATTGAAAAAAATAATCACTCGTTTTTAATCTCACTAAATTTTCTTTTTTAGTACAATTTAAATTTTGTTCTAAATCAAAATATTTAAAAGAAATATAGTTTTTGGATTGTACTAAATTGAAAATAAAAAAATTCCTTTATTTTTAATCTCATTAAAAGTATTTTTAGCAGAATTTTTGCTTAATTTGCTTGCTTAACAAAGGAATGATTTTTTATTTATTGAAAAAATTAGACTGATCTTATATAAGTAATGAGAAGAGCAGAAAGGGGAGAGAAAAAAATTCACTTTACTTTAGGCCTCTTAAGCGATTTTAATGTACACGTGAAAAAAACCATTTTTTTCTTTCTTTTATTCACGAGAATCGCAAAATTTGTGGAATAAAATTGAATCGAAATTATTCTTATTGAAATCAATATGGTTCCGGGAGTACCATGATGCTTTGCGCGTCTTTGCTGCAGTGAGCAACTCATAAACATCATCCATTGAAAGATGTTTTCTTTGTGGTACCTTGCGTATATTGTTAAAGGGTGAGTATTAGTATTTTATTCACACATTCCACTCTAAAGAATAAAAGAGAGAGAAAGATTTAAAATCTGAAAAGGGATTGCGCGCTAAAAACGGAATGGCTGTCGTGCACGTGCGTTGCACTTATTTTTAGCACTTATTTATTCCACCGATGGCAAACGTTGAATGAAACTTTCATAGCAGTTAATAGAAAAAAGTCGAGAATAATATTTTATGAATCCATAAATGTTACAGTGTAATTAATTGAGGGAATGGAGAATAGGTCAATTGCCGTAGTACTAAGCGCTGTGATCGCTGGTATAGCGGTCATTTATTTTCACTGGTCAAAGAGGTAAGATTAACTTCTTTACTTGAAATAAATAAATATTGCTTTGAATATGTTTATTCTAACGAAAATGAATACATTTCATGTTTATAAAAAAGCTATGATGTTATGATTCATAGTTTTGGTACTAAGAGGTGATTTCAAGGTCTAGGAAATACTTTAAATGAGTATTGATCTAAAATTATTTGAAATCCATAAAAATATAATTGAACTTAAATTCAAATTTCAGTTTTTTCTAAAACAAAATTCTTTACTTATGTTTTACTTAATTAAATGTGGGTTTTAAGTTATTAATATTTATATTCATATCCAATTTATGAATATCGATCGAATATTGAATAATTTAGATTTTTTCTGATGTTTTAATTGGTTTTAAATGATATAATCAAAATTTTAATTAAAAAAAATGTTTTTATTTTCGTAAGTAAAAATTATGTACCAAACGCAATGCACTACATTCCTCTTAAAATGGTATATCATCAATCGAAGCTTAAAATTATCTATTGAAATAAAATAAGGATTATGTTTATAAAAATTACCTAAAATATAAAAAGAGAAACTAAATAATTTGTTAGGTGTCACTACTTCTACTTTTAATTACGAAAAATATGTAATATTTTTTGAGTATTTTTTTCTTGTCTAATCTAAGAAGGATTTTTTTTCCTTCATTAATATCAGTGAAAAGGCTTATTTTTTTCTTATTATCCTACTTTTTTTACTATTATTCTTTCAGAAGAGACATAACTAATTGAAGAAGTTAATGCACGTTCAGGTTTAGATTATCTTGTTTGCATGCCTTTGAAAGGTTTAAAAAGTGTATTAAAAGAATTTTTCCAGTTAGTATTATTAACTCAGAATTCTAAAAGACAATTCCTTAAAAAAAAAGAAGAAAAAAAAATTTAAAAAGTGCTGAATCTTAGGAGCTCCGAGAAATTTAGGGGTGTCACACGAGTGATGTTTTGAGGGGAGGACTTAGGGGGCATCCAAATAATGATTATGAACTATTACTAAATCTATTAATAGCATCATTTTGTTATTAAATTAAGTGTTTTTATTCGATTTAGAAAGCCATTTCATGAAGAGTAAAAATGAACTTTTATAATTAAGATATTCAAGAAAAACAAATAGATTATTTTGTCGGAGATAAATAATTTTTTTACCATGAATAATTTCCTAATTTATATAAAAATAAATTTAAAATATGGAATTAGATTTTTATGAATATATATCATTCCTGATATCATATATCATCATTACTCAGCCTTTTTTCTTTTTTTTTTACTTAGTATTAATTTCTCCCCTTTCTTATATCACTCTTATTTTCAGGAGCATCTAATCGGGTATTCACTCATATCAGACCTTATTAGGCATACTTTTAATATATCACCTTTCACAATACCCTATCCTGTGATGCGATAATACATATTTTCTAGCTTTTAAAATTTCTTTAATTTATTTTTTTCTTAATCGAATTTAAATTAAATTAAACCAATTATTTAATTTTTATTACATATTATAAAAAGCGAATATAAAATATTTTATTATTTTCTTAACAAGCGGCAAACTTTTTATTTCAATAATAATCTCACTATCGCTAACAAAATGGAAAACAAAAATCTATTTATAACTCTTTATTTCTCACCACAAAAATTTTTCAGTTATACTAATTCTCCTAGTCTTTTCACCAAATTATTTTCAAATTTAATACAGATTATGAGAGGTTGGCTTTATTTTTGGGTATGTTATCTTTCGATAAATCACCAACAATGGATTTCTTCCCATGCTCTTAACTGTTTATTGGGAACAATTCATTGACTTCTTAATTTCGAATTAGGACCGAAGCCTTCGGTCCCAACCGTCGAATATTTATTTTTACAAAATAATCTTGATGTGAAGATTTTCTTGATTCTTTTGAGGGATTTCTTTTCTTTATTTTTATAATTTTGGAATGTGGCCATGTTCAATTTAATATTTACGTAATGAATCAATTTTTCCTAAACGATTTTATTCATGTTTCTTGGATCCCTACATCATATCCAAATTAAGATGTTTCTGAAACAGCCTTTAATTCTACAAAGAAACAACAGTACCAGCTCTAATCTTTTATTAATGCTGTAATGTATCTGAATGAATTTGGAGCGTCTAATTTTAAAAGCTAGGAAATACAGTCCCCGGTCAAATTATTAGACGACTATTAGACTATAAGATTCTATTTAAAACCTTTTATTATCAGATGATACTATATAGCTTTATTGCTTTTATGTGACTGAAACCGGTTTCCACTTGTTTACGTTAGTGTATCAATTGGTTAAATTAGACGATATATAATATAAATTTGACGATAGGATAAATTAGACTATATGTTAAATAAATATAGAATATTTATTATATCAAGCATTATATTAGTTATTAGCATAATATATTATAATAATTACATGATTTGCACGAGTTTATATGCAATACTTTCATATTTAAACATACATGTAATGGGTTTTTATTCAGGAGATTTTGTACATACTTATATACTTCCTATTTTTATTTATTTTTAACGTATTGCATTACAATGTCAACCAATTGATACAGGAACGTAAACGAATGCAAACCGGTTTCATCCGAGTAAAAAACAATACAGCTGTATAGTATCACCTGATAATTATAATTTTACAAAGAATCTTATAGTGCGTCTAATGAGACGGCCAGGGACTGTACCTATTGTGGCATCACATATCAGACCTTATTAGGTATTGTGCATACTTTTAATATATCGCCGCACCCGGCTTGCACCGACTACAGTGCTGACGTGAAATATCCTCAGTGGTAGACTGATCATGGGTTAGAGTCCCCTTGCCATTCGGCTAACCGTGGGAGGCTCTGTGATCTTCCTCTCCATGCAACGCAAATACGGGTTAGCTCCATCAAAAAGTCCTCCGCGAAAGCTAATTTCTCCCAATACTCGATCCAAGAGTTCCCTTGTCTTCTGGATTGGGTTCAAAATTATAAGGCTACGGAGTTGAACATTAGTAGTCGTAAATCCATAAAATTGGGTCGGCTGTTCAACGACGTTGATAAAATATAAATAAAGAATATAACACCTTAGGACGGGATAGGCTGGTTGGTAGGGCGCTGAACCCATGTCCAAGAGTTCGTGGGTTCGATCCCCGCCGGCTGAAGACTCCCCGTGTAGTAAATTGTGACTGATGCACATTAAATCTGTCGTGTCGCAAAGTCCTCCATGTTCCCGTAGCAAATAAATAGCTCTGGGGGTCCAGGAGTTTTCTTGTCTTCTGGATTGGGTTCAAAATTACAAGGCTACGGAGTTTAACATTAGTAGTCGTAAATCCAAAAATTGGGTCGGCTGTTCAACGACGGATATAAAACAAAATATATATCACCTGTATTCTATCCGTTTCTCTATTTGATGAATGAATAACCTCTACTTTTAAGTCTTGTGAATTATATAAGCTTTAATTTTTTTAAATTAAAAATGAATCTAAGCCGCAATCACGTTTTGTCTGTTAAAAGTCAAATTCGACCTAGAAGCAAAGCTATGAAGCTCTATCCTATCTTAGTTATCAGAAGAATTTCTTAGGTAATCATAAAAATTCAATATCCATCATCATTTTAATAAATAGTAATTTAATGTGCAAAAATAAGAAAAATATTTACCACACTTTTTGATGTTTTAAATATAAATTTAAAATATAACATATAATCTTGTAATTAATCTATTATTTTTACCTAGTTTTTGAAAGTATTTCATGGGTACGCCAGAGTAGTCATGAAAACCCATTGCCTGCGCCTTATAATTTAATGTGTACAAATAAGAAAATTATTAACTAACACATTTCTTAATGATTCAAATATTAATTAAAAATATAACATATAATCCTTGTCATTGATCTTTTATTTTAACCTACTTTTTGGAAGTATTTCATGGGTTCGCCAGCGTAGTCATAAAAACCCATTGCCTACGCCTTATTAAATAAAGTAATTTAATGCGTAAAAATATGAAACCACACTTATCATACTTTTAAATGTTTTAAATATAAATTTAAAATATTACATAATTCTTGTAATTGATCTTTCATTTTATCCTAGTTTTTAGAAGTATTTCATGGGTTCGCCTGAGTAGTCATGAAGACCCATTACATGCTCCTTATTATGAAAACTAATTTAATGCATAAAAATAAGAAAATTTTTAATTATATTTACAGCATTTTTTAATGTTTTAAATATAAATTTGAAATATAACAAATAGTCCTTGTATTTATCTTTTATTTTATCCTAGTTTTTAGAAGTATTTCATGGGTTCGCCTGAGTAGTCATGAAAACCCATTACATACTCCTTATTATGAAAACTAATTTAATGCATAAAAGTAAGAAAATTGTTAATTATATTTACAGCATTTTTTAATATTTTAAATATAAATTTAAAATATAAAAAATAGTCCTTGTTATTGATCTTTTATTTTATCCTAGTTTTTGGAAGTACCGTAAAGCACCGTTTATATGTTTTTCAGGGAATCAATGTTATTTGCATGATAAAAATTAAAAAAAAGAAGAAAGAAAGAAAAATGATGCAAATCCGATATTTTTCTCATTAAATAACCTAATGGTGCAATAAAAGTCTAGTTGAACCATGCGATGAAATTCTGGTTCTAACCGTATTAGGTGAAAGCAGTTAATAAAAGGTTTTTCTCACTGTTAACCGTTTGAATACCATCTTATTTATGATTATTTGGCTGTTTTGATTGAATATGGTAAAATAACACTAAAATAAACTTTTATTCAACCATTTTTTCCTAGAACTTTCTAACAGTGGGTGAATGCTATAAAATAATCTTTTGGTTACTGTTTCCTGAAAGTCTTTCTTGAAGTGTCTTAAACATAATACTTTCAAGTAACTTAAGAAAATTATGTTAATAAATTTTTATAAATTTTAATGTTACGTTAGTCTCAAAATCAATTTCGGAGCACTAATTATTAATACCAGCTAAAAAGTAGTA